CGTGTTTGAAAATCGGGTAAGTACGTTTAGTTAGAGCATTTAAATATCAAAAGCAATATTTGTTAACATAAATATAACTTGTGCAACACGCCAAATGAAACAAAACATAAGCGAGGAAAAGAAATACACATAAGTATAACTGACATGACGGTTAACTAACTTAGATAGGGATGGATATTCCTACATCATCAATTAAAATACCGACAGCAATTACCGAATATCTATTTATTTATTTATTGATTTATTTATTTATTTTATATTATTTTATGAATTAATTAATTAATTAATTAATTAATTAATTGATTAATTAATTATTTAATTAATTTATTTATTTATTGATTTATTTATTTATTTATTTATTTATTCATTTATTCATTTATTCATTTATTCATTTATTTATTTATTTATCATTCATTCATTTATTCAATTTTTTATAAATATATAAATATAAAGATAATAAATAAGTGAATAAATAAATTAATAAATTAATAAAATGATAAATAAACACATTAATGAAGTAATCAATTTCGATTGTATTTTTTTCCTGAAGTTTCATTGACAGTATGACAGTCACTTGTACATTAAATTTGGGCGGGGTGTGGTCAGTGCTGTTCTAATTACCAATGAAAAAAAAAGTATAATATTTCGGATAACAACTTTATTGAATTGCAACATAAATGACTGGCAGGTCGATTTTCCCCTTAAAGAATGTTGACACCACTTGAACGTGTGAAAAACATAACCATCGAAGGTCATTCATTACGTATCATATTATATATCCTTTTGTTCAAAGAGATCAATTAAGTTTTATTACCCTACATGATGGGGCTTTTTCATAACAGCATAATTATATAAGACACACACACACATAAAAAAGACAAAAAAAACATGGTTAGAATGAACAAAAAATAAAGAAAGAAGAAAATGAGGATGTGGATAATTTGAAAATGAATAATTCATGTATAATAATGTAACTTAACAAATTATATATACACGTACGCCGTAAATTACATAGTTTGTAACAGAAATTAGAGCGTTTAGGATATATCTTGTTTCTTTCTTTCTTTTTTTCTTTCTTTCTTTCTTTCTTTCTTTCTTTTTTCTTTCTTCCTTTCTTTCTTTCTTTCTTTCTTTTTTCTTTCTTTGATAATTGAATCGCTATTTTATGTTTAAAAAAGCGGCGTGTTTGAAAATCGTTTAAGGCGCGTTCAATAAGAGAACTTATTTATCAAAAGCAATGTTTTTTATTATTTTTTTTTACATAAATATAAATTATACAATACGCCAAATGAAATAAAATAACACACATTTTGATGTATTATCGAGGAAAAAATACACATAAGTATAAATAACATGAAGGTTAACAAAATTATATAGGAATATTCCTACGTCATCAATTAAAATGACGGCAGGAATTACCGATTGTTTATTTGTTTATTTGTTTCTTTATTTATATATTTATATATAAATAAATTTTTTTATTAACTTATATATTTATTTATTTATTTGTCATTCATTTATTTATAAATATATAAATAGATAGATAAATAAATAATTAAATAAATTAATAAATAAAATAATAAATTGTTAAATTAATAAATTAATAAAAAAATAAATTAATAAATCAATAAATTAATTAATTAATAAATTAATTGATTAATAAAAAATAATAAATTAATTTATAAATTTAATTAATTAATTCATTTATGTTACCAATGTCCAATAAGTCTGATATTGAAATAAAATAGATCTGAAATATTATGATTTTGATTGGATGATTATCTTAAGTTTCATTGACAGAATGACAGTCCCCCGTACACTAAATTTGGGCAGGGTGTGGTCAGTTCAGTTCTTATTACCAATGAAAAAAAAGGAATTATCTTTCGGATAATAACTTGATTGGATTGCAACATAAATGACTGGCAGGTCGATTTCCCCCTTAAAGAATGTTGACACCACTTGAACGTGTAAAAACATAACCATCGAAGGTCATTAGTTACGTATTATATTACATATCCTTTTGTTCAAAGAGATCAATTAAGTTTTATTACCCTTCATGATGGGGCTTTTTCATAACAGCATAATTATAAAAGACACACACACACACACACAAAAGAAAAGAAACGAAAAAAACGGTTAGAATAATAAAAAAAGAAAGAAGGAAATAAGGATGTGGATCATTTGAAAATGAATAGTCTATATATAATCATTTAAGTTAACAAAATTATATATACACGTACGCCGTAAATTAATAGTTTGTAACAGAAATTAGAGCGTTCAATGGTATATTTCTTTCTTTCTTTCTTCGTTCTTTCTTTCTTTCTTTCTTTCTTTCTTTCTTTCTTTCTTTCTTTCTTTCTTTCTTTCTTTCTTTCTTTCTTTCTTTCTTTCTTTCTTTCTTTGATAGTTGAATGGCTATTTTTGTTTTAAAAAAAGCGTGTTTAAAAATAGTTTAGGCGCGTTCAGTTAGAGCACTTAAATATCAAAGCAATTTTTATTATTATTATTTTTTACATAAATATAACTTAAGGTAGAACGCGACACTTTGCGAACTTTCGAGTAGCGTCTTGAAAATTAGCATGCAAAAAGTTGACCATATTTCTGATTAGGTTCCCTTGTACACACGGCGTCAAAGTTGACCATCAGAGCCCGTTTTTGAACATGACGTCTTTGCGTATTATTGGCAACTGTTACGGTTATTTTAACGCCACTGGTGGACAAAATATTATAAATTCTACAGCATTCTACGGAATTTTTTTTCCTTTAAGCTGATATAAAATTTATTGTTTTACGCCGAAAAATGTTTGAAAAATGGAAAGAAAATTGTCAATTTTGTGCAAAATTTGACGTTCAGTTTAGCCGCTTTAAGGCCGAAAAATGCGGCTAAACTGAACGTCAAATTTTACGCAAAATTGACAAAAGCTTTTTCATGTTGTTTGGATAAGCATAATTACGAACAAATGTATCTTTTGTTTGTGGTGTTCAGACAATTCAAGCTTTTCAATGGTGTTTGGATAAGCATAATTACGAACAAATGTATCTTTTGTCAGTGGTCTTCAGACAATTTAAGCTTTTCCATGGTGTTTGGATAAGCTTAATTACGAACAAAGGTATCTTTTGTCTGTGTTGTTCAGACATTTTAAGCTTTTCCCTGTTGTATGGATAAGCATACGAACAAATGTATCTTTTGTCTGTGTAGTTCAGACAATTTAAGCTTTTCCATGGTGTTTGGATAAGCAAAATTACGAACAAATGTATCTTTATGTCTGTGGTGTTCCGAAAATTTAAGCTTTTCCATGGTGTTTGGATAAGCATAATTACGAACAAATGTATCTTTTGTCTGTGGTGTCCAGACAGTTTTAGCTTTTCCATGGTGTTTGGATAAGCAAAATTACGAACAAATGTATCTTTTGTCTCTGTGGTTTAGACAATTAAGGCTGTTCCATGGTGTTTGGATCAGCATAATTACGAACATTTGTATTTTGCCTTGTCTGTGGTGTTCAGACATTTTTTATAGACAACTTAAGCATTATCCTGAACAAATGTCGTATTTTGACTTTGATGTTAATTGGCTATTAAGACGTTATATAATATGTTATATATTATGAAACTAAAATAAATATATCGTCTGTGGTGTTCAGACTTAAAAAGATTTTTTTTAAAGAACAGGTGAATCATTTTTAGGTATTTACTTAAAATAAAAACATACACAAATAAAGTAAGCAAACCTCTTATCACACTATTTTTATCTGCTTAATAATAATATCCACAACTCACTTCACTTTAAAGTCCGAAATAAAAACAAAATTGACCGTAGCTGCTAATGCCTCGATATGACCACTGGCTGCTGATAGCTGCGTCTTCTCTCTGTGGGGCCCATTAGTGAGTTTATATGTAGGATAAAATTCCAGTAAACCGTATTTCCGAGATACGTTCTTCTTTTTACTCTCTTTTTATAGGCCATATTTTCTATGATATATTGTGTAGCAATCTTTAGTAAAAAAACAACAACAAAACTAGAATTGTTCTTCCCGCAACCCACTGAGCTGCTTGCTACTGGTGTATCAATGAACTGTTATTTTTGCTTTCTATGAAGGAAGGTATTATTTCATGAAAATAACGATTTGGGACTTTCAAAGCATTTAAACAACTTTGCAAACAATATTTTAATGATGTGTAGCTGGAATGTAACAATACTGCAGAATGAAGAACTAGTTTCTATAGCGGTTTTTATCCGGAAGTGGATAAACCTGTAACGCCCGTGAAGAAAAGCTTATTTTGACAATATTTAGCTGCGGACTCAATTTGTACACACGAACATAGTTTTACTCATCGGAACTATTGCAATGGTCTCAGAAATATTAACACAGCCCTGAACAAGCAATGTATACAAAAATTGTTGTTATGTGAAAATAATATTATTAAACTGTAAACAAAGATCGATACAATATTAAACTAAATAAAATCTTAATAAAAAGATAAGTATGAATTCAATTTATACTTATAAGAGCCTATTATGAATTTCACATTTTAAATCTGTGTCTGTTTTATAATGTAAGATTATAATTTGTATAATGATGGGATAGTGATGTTCTTGAAAACATCATTTGTACTAGCAGTGTTTGTTGATAAAATATTTGCTCGTAAGTACAGTAATGTAATAATGCATTGTCATAATTAACGGTTTAGGTGTAAAATTGAATTCATTATGAAGTTCAAGTCATGATTTCGTGTAATAAAAAGCGTGAATATTTTCAGCTTTAATCTTGACTTCATAAAGATTAATTCGTGAATATGGTACGTTTCAATGTTACCACCTTTCGTATTTTTTTTTCCTTTAGAGGTACTTTACTGCATGTTTGATACTTTGATACATTTTAAATTTTCCTAAAATTAATCATTATTTACTTTTATAGGCATGATTTACTATTTGTTCTTCTTATTGCAAAGAATATAATAGAGTTTATGAGTTTAAAGCGGTTTTGTTCTTTTTTGACCGTATCAATCCGAATATTTTAGTCTAAAAATAACCTTCGAAAGAGAGTCACTGGTGCATACCGTATCTATTCAAATCACAACAGAGAAAGAGGAAGTTTTGATCAGGTTTATTCGGGAGTGATTATTCAGGTATTTAGGTGTTTATATATTATATCTTTTGTTTGTTTTGGTGAAAGTTAAGTGATATTTCTTGAATTTCTTAATTTTCGCCTTAAAAGTTTTTAAACAGGAATAACGGATATTGTAGTAATTTTTTTAATTTAATTATAGGTCTTGCATCTTTTTGTTTAAGCTTAATTGTACATTTAAAATACTGCATGATACACTCGATATGTCTAACATATTTTATTGTAATGGATACAAATTACGAACAAAAAAAAACATACATTTTAGTACTATTCTGGTTTTTAAGCTAAAGATATAATAAAACAAAAAGAAGAAGAATGAAAGCAGCATCGTTTAGTTAATATGCTAAAACATATGTATTCTTGTAAGTTGATCACATTATTATCTATCAATAAAATTCTCACTTTTAGATTTGCCTAAATGAATACGGAATAATGTTTCTTAGGGAAACAACATTTATACTAGTATTGATTGTGGATATGGTATTTACTGGTAAGTTATTTTACTTCATGATTTGTACTGTAAAAATGCAAATGTGTGAATTGCTGTTAAAACATGTTCTTTTAATTTCGATTATTTCGAATGCATCTATAATAAAATGTTGACTTTTTAAAGTTTATTTTTTTATTATTGTTAATCTTTTGTAGTCGGGGTTAGACTTTTTAGTTTTTTTAAAGATCTGACATAGCATATTCTTTACATTGTAAATGTGGATATATTAATAACTAAGAAAGTGTAAATATGGCAAAGAAATATATATTAACATAATGTTCTGTTGGCTACCAATCATGCTTTGGTTCAACTTGCACAAGTTGTGAATCATCTTACTTTTTATCAAATGTGTTTTGTTTGCCATGTCCCGACAATTGTGAAAGATGTAATAGCTACGATGACTGTACTTTCTGTAAGCCAAACACCTTTGGTTTGCTTACAAGATGTAATTATATATAACTAAACAAATGTAAATAGGCAAAGGATTATATATTTACAGAATGCTCTGTTGGCTGCCAATCATGTTCTGGATCAACTTGTACAGATTGTGAATCATCTTACTTTTTATCAAATGGTTATTGTTCACTATGCCCCGACGATTGTGAAAGATGTAATAGCTACGATGACTGTACTTCATGTAAGCCTAATAAATATGGTTTGCACGCCAGATGTACTTTTAACTGTGATGGTAATTGTATCAACAGTGAATGTCAAGATGATACTGGATATTGTACTCAATGTGAGCCTGGTTTCTATGGAAATCAATGTCAACATAATTGTAGATTATGTAAAAATGAACGTTGTGATTTACGTACATGTTTGAGCGGTTGTAGAGCTAGTTATTATGAGTATAAAACCGGTACCGAAACAATATGTCAAACCTGTCCGCCAAATTGTAAACATTGTACGGATGGGAACACGTGTAATATTTGCAACGATGGTTTTCATCTCTATAAGTTAAATGACAACGTTCACTGTGTGTCATGTTTGTCAGAAATGCAATGTCCAGACTGTATTATTCAAGGTTGTAGCCAGTGTCAAATACACAATGATTCGTTAGTCTGCGCTGATTGTCCAGAAGGACAAGTATTCAATGGTCAAACATGCGGATCACACACATCATTGTGCTCAAAAGAATGTTCTACGAATTGTGATAGTACTGGAATATGTCAAGGAGAATGTAATGAGGGCTGGACTGGTGGAAAATGCTCCGAAAGATGTAACAGTCAATGTTTAAAGTGTTCAAAAGATAACGGAAATAGTTGTCTACTGTGTAAAGGTAATTATTACTCAACCGATTGCAGTTTAGCCTGTAACCCGGCATGCATAATAAAAAGTGGTAAACATACATGTGAAAATACAAGTGGATATTGTTTAAACGGATGTAACCAAACATTTTGGGGCGATACTTGTGAGCAACCTTGTCCTGGTGGATGTAAAGATCTTAAATGTGATAGAAACAACGGTACATGTACGAATGGATGTAAGGATGGACTATCTGGATATAAATGTACTCAAACTATCAACATCGGTAAACAATTTGCATATGATAACTGTCATAAAGTAATTTTAAAATAATTAATTTATAAGTAACTCATTGATTAAATCAAATTCATTATTACCATAAATATTGCATATTATTATTCACTCTTATTGTAGTGGCATAACAGGGATATTGGAAATACTTGTTTTGCCTTGTTTAAACGTGAAAGTATTACTTTGGACTTTGGTAATTATTACGTGCAAACGTAGTAGTAAAATTAATACGTTTGAGGATTTTTACTTGCGTAAAGTAACAATAAGATATAATACGCACTACTGACAACTAACTTATTCTCACTAAATCATAATCATAGTAAACATAGATATATAGTCATTATGTTTCGCCATTGAATTGCATTATGGTATCATTTAAGAGATATTTATCAGTGATCAGAAAGACCATTCTAGTCATTTTAGTTGGCCAGCTCGGGAATCAAACCCTCAATGTTGAGATAACAAATTTTGCGCTGTAACAGATTAAGGTGCGCGAGCTTACTTGATATAGACGACTGTTTGTATAGTTTACAAATTGTTCCAGTAATGATTAGACTATTGTGAAGGTAACATATATATTACACGTCAATGTTATATCTACAGAAACATCAGTGACAACAACAACGACTACAACATCAGCCGAACCTGAAACCCAACAACAATCATGTGCACGGTCTGAAGATAAAGTTAATAATTTTGCCATTATATATTTCTCTGGATTCGGATCTTGTGTTGCCATAGAAGTATTTGCTGTATTGTTTTACCTTATAAGACGAAGGTGAATGTTTATTTACAAATTTTATACTATACAACATGCTTGTCTTGAATGCATTCTTACTGATGAATTTAATGGAAACAATAATAATAATAATAAGCACAGTGTTATGTTAATGTTTTTCTTCATGATTAAATTGATACGCTTGTATTTTGAAGTTAATTGTGTCGGTTGATCACTGGTTTGCTTTTATACGTATTACTTAAAATCGACTTTTATAATAATTATAAATTCTATTTTTTAATACAGGTATCTGGGAAGTAAACGCCCAAAGACAACAAACCTAACGTTGACATTCCAACATATTATAACACTAGAACTGATTTCGGAACTGTAAATGCTGAGTCAGCTGATGCGACTAATAATTACGAGAGTTTGAGTAATAACAGGACCACGAATAATGTATACAATGGTAATTGTAATGTGTTTACTTGATTTACCTAGAATTATGATAATATTAATTACCTGATGTCATTATTGTTGTTCACAATTATTATTATTATAATTATATTTTTAATTATTATTTTTACTATTATTATTATGTTTATTATTATTCCTATTATTATTATTATTATTTTTATTATAATTTATTTATTTATTATTTATTTATTTATTTATTTATTTGTCTACATATTTATTTGTCTATTTTCAGATCTAGGAACAGCATTGTCATCGACGTAGGAGAAATGAGTTTTAGTGATTTCCTAGTGATTGATGCATATTATTACCATCCTTATATAATCACTTTGAAAACGGCTTGTATTCATAATAAGCTAGTTATATAACTGAATAAAACTATATTTCATTCTACCAATATTTTAACATGTGAATTACGACTAATGTGTTTTTCAAAATTACTGTACCTTGTTATTCTTTATAAACGTTTTTTTCTCGAATACTTTGATCCTGTCTTTGCATTATGATATTTAAACTTATATCTAATAACAGCATATTTTACGTTATATGTTTTATAATGTGTGCTGATAACATGTATAACATTGTTCTTGAAAATGGTATAATTTAAACTAGAAATGTTTGTTGATCAAGTATTTGATCGTAAATACTTCTGCATGATAGTTCCAAATTAATTTATTCTGTTTACCTACAAATGAGACTACTATACAATTTGGACAGGTCTTTTACATTGAATGCATCTTTAAATATTTTATTTAAAATTACGAAATATATGATGCTAACAATTGGCTGAACGTCAATTTTTTGACATTTGGTCATACTGATATCTTTACTTTAAGAAAATAACAGTTAAAACAGCTATAAGTGTATATTTCAAAACATATCATTTAAATGTGTTTTAATTAAGATTTGTATAATTGGTTTTAAGAAAATTTATTTGGCTTTCAATCTTGATCACATGTTCGACATCTTTAAGTTATGGTCATCTTACTTTTTATCAAATAGTTATCGTTCATTGTGCTATATAGATTGTTAACATTGCTTTAATAACTGTACGTCATGTAAACAAAAATTATATGTTATTCGTGTAAGTTAAACTTTTACCAGTGTTGATAATTGTCTTATAGTAAATAAATAGAGGATCCGGCATATTGTTATCAAGCCAAGCATTTTTTCTATGAGCATATATGCAAGTTTGTAGATCTGGGTATTATCAGTATAAAACCGGTTAAAAAACAGTATATAAAAGTTTCGTTAAATTGCAATCATTGCTCGAATGTCATGTCGGAAATGGTTTTCATCTCAATTATTCGATGGCAATGAAAAGGGATTCCCTGAAGAAGAACGCCAAAGAACCTGTTCATGTACGGAACTAAAAGTGCTGGTTACTGTCCCTATCCCTTAAGTAGAAAATAAAGACTCAAATGCTCAAAAGAAAATGATTGAAATATATGTTTACATTGCAATGGTGACATTATTTTACAGAATGTAGTTAAAATAGAGGAAACGGAATGATTAAAGAACGCCCAAAACCACAAAATTGAAAATGTTGCAGGCTCTGTTTGATTGCGCCTGTTCATTGACGATACTTGAAAGTGCAAGTTACCGTCCACGCCTCTTAGCACCGGCTTAAGCAGAATTTAACATTTAAACATGAACATGGTGAAATTTTGAATTTAGAAACATCCGCAGATGTGTTCACACGGCGGTTATCATGGAACATTTAATGTAACACGTTAATGCCATTCCATATTTGCCATCCATTATGTTCAGTAAGGGACAATAAAAGAACATGTTGACATGCAGATGGATAGTCCTAAAATGAGTGTATACAAAGCTCTTGGGGCGAAACCTGAAATATGTCAGATATGTGTCAGGAAACATGTAAACACGTACTGAAGGATGCAAAGATGGATATCTGGTAGATATATATTTTCGAGATAGTACAGGGGTTCGAGTATGTATATATCTGTTTGTATAAACAAGTACATTTTATGGATATAATAATATTTGTACAATGAAACATTTTTAGATAAAGTATTGATACAAAAATTCCATAGATTTAGAAAATTATAGCACCTGATAAGCATTCAGAAGAAATACTAACATATTTGTCAATAAAAATGCAATGCCACAGAGTACACACGTTTTTAAACCCTAACTTGATACAAATACTTTCCTGAATTTCTGAAAAGTATAAATAAAATTAATAATCCGAAATTCCATGAAACATTATTTTAATTAGGCTCTACAGTTCTTGCATGAAACTTCAGGTGGTATAAATATTAATGCAAGTAAATTTACTAAAGTTATAACCACATCTACGTCACAGATAGCTGACTAGATCCCCTGTCCTTTTACTGACATTATGCTTATGCTTATACTTTCTTTCCTATTTCATTTCATCCATTTTAATGTCATACTTTTAGGTAGTTTTGTTTAGTCACTTTACAGCAACATTTAATTTTTTTTCTTACTATACAAAAATTGTTTATTTTCAGAATGTATTGCTTGATTAAATTGCGAATGTGCTTCTTTATAGCTTTTTTTATACTCCTACCTAAATCATTACATTATTCATCTACGTCGTGTGAAATTTCAGTCAGGAATTCATTTTTATACTGAGGTATCCACTTATCCACTACAGGAGCGTAGTTTTTCTTGTCACGTGATACGCTATTCGCACGTACAAATATTACAGGCGCGTGATGGGGAAAAAATGTAAAATTCTGTACATTGAAATAGTAAATATACAATAAATACATTTATCAGTAAAACAACACGACTTTCACAGTTATGTGTATAGCATGTACATTGATCGGTATTAGCATCTTTACTAATAACGGAGGTCAAATGCTTTCTTATCCTTGATCAGTCGTTGCTTGTGGTTAATATTCGTCCACTAAAATGTCCGTTTGATCTCATAAGCGTGACTAATTTTATTTTACCCATGCTTGAGATTAAATCACACATACCCACGAAAAGTATCTCGTGCCCACGACTGAATTATCTCGTGTGCACGATTTAGTAACTCGTGGCAACGACATAGTATATCGTGCGCGCCACATAATTATCTCGAGGGCACGACTTAGGAACTGGTTGCCACGGCATAGTATCTCGTGCGCACGAGATAAATAACAAGAGGGCCATGATGGCCCAAAGTCGCTCACCTGTATATAGGCCCCCGGAGCGGGGCGCAGTTTAAACCCCAGGGCTTTTATTTGAACAAACTTGGTTGACACCCATTAGAAGATTTTTTATGTATATATATCTATGTCTATATATATATATTTATATATATATATATATATGTATACATATTATGGATATATTTATATATATATATATATGTATGTTATTTATATATATGTATGTATATATATATATATATTATATATATGTGTGTGTGTGTGTGTGTGTGTGTGTATGTATGTATGTATATATATATATATATATATATATATATATATATATATATATATATATATATATATATATATATATATATATATATATATATATATGTATATATGTATATATATATATATACATATTTTTATATATGTACATACATACATATATATATATATATATATATATATATATATATATATATCCATGCATACATATATATATACATACATATATATAAGATATATATATAAATTACATATGTAATATATATATATACATATATATATATATATATATATATATGTGTATGTATGTATATGTATATATATATATAATATATATATATATATATATATAAATTACATATGTATATATATATACATATATATATATATATATATATATATATATATATATATGTATATATATATAATATGTATATATCTAAAAAAAAAACGTCTAGCTAATGAATGAATGAATGACCCCGGGGCGGGGCCAATTTTGACCCCAGGGCTCTTATTTGAACGAACATGGTAGACATCCATTAGAACATGTTTCATGCTAAATATCTTAGCTCTAGCTCTTTGCATTCTTTAAAAGAAAATTTTTTAAGTTTTTACTATATGCATATAGGGGAAATCAATGACCCCCTGGGGCGGGGCCAATTTTGACCCCAGGGCTTTTATTTGAACAAACTTGGTAGACACCTATTAGAAGATGTTTCATGCTAAAAATCTTAGCTCTAGCTCTTTGGGTTCTTTAAAAGAAGATTTTTTAAGTTTTTACTCTATACATATAGGGAAAATCAATGACCCCCAGGGCGGGGCCGATTTTAATTCTAGGAACAAAATTTGAACAACTTTGGTTTTGGACCTATAGATGATACCATAGACCAAATATCAAAGCTCTAGGCCATTTACTTTCAGACCAGAAGATTTTTCAAGTTTTCACTATATGTATATAATGAAAATCAATGAACCCCGAGGGCGGGGCCAATTTTGACCCGAGGGCCATTATTTGAACAATCTTGGTAGAGGTCTACTACACAATGTTTCATGCCAAATATCTAATCTGTAGCCTTTGCCAAATCAGAGAAGAAGATTTTTTTAGATTTTACTACATACATATAAGGAAAAACCTATGACCCCCCTGGGCGGGGCCAATTTTGACACTAGGGACAAAATTTGAACAACTTTGGTAGAGGACCCATAGATGATACCATATACCAAAAATCAAAGCTCTAGGCCATTTACTTTCAGACCAGAAGATTTTTCAAGTTTTCACTATATGTATGTAATGAAAATCAATGACCCCCCAGGGCGGGGCCACTTTTGACCCTAGGGCCATTATTTGAACAATCTTGATAGAGGTCTACTACACAATGTTTCATGCCAACTATCTAATCTGTAGCCTTTGCCAAATCAGAGAAGAAGATTTTTTTAGATTTACCTATAGACATATAAAGGAAAAACCTATGACCCCCCGGGGCGGGGCCAATTTTGACACTAGGGACAAAATTTGAACAACTTTGGTAGAGGACCCATAGATGATACCATATACCAAAAATCAAAGCTCTGGCCCATGTACTTTCAGACAAGAAGATTTTTTAATTTTGTGTTTTTTGAAATCCTTTTCTGGCCCTGTGACCTACATATGCAACAGACCGGAACCATTTGAACAACTTTGAAAGGGGACCACCCAATGATCATTTCTGTAAAGTTTGGTTGATGTGCAGTCATTGGTTTCAGAGGAGATGTTGTTTATGTGAAAAGTTGACGACGCACGACGCACGACGCACGCCGCACGACGCACGACGCACGACGACGGACGACGGACACAGGGCGATCACAATAGCTCACCCTGAGCATTGCTCAGGTGAGCTAAAAATGCACACACACATTTCACCTCTGTGCCACAGTATGAAACTGTTTATAATCATTTAAGTTCATTTTAGAATTTTACTTGTCCATGTTTCATTTCAAAATATCAAAACATACTTGTGATAACCCCTAATGATTCCGAAATAAACACTATATATTACTCCTATTATATCCCTAAATACGAGTAGTGAAACTTTTTCTTTCCCGTTTAAAAAAAGCTTGTCGACACGTATGAACGATTCCTTGCCCAGAGACCGCGCCTCCATGGAGTTGTAACCTAGTAAGTGCAAGTTCGAATCTTGGACAAACCTGTTTCTTTTCATAAATTGATTTTTATTATATCTTTTAACTGTATGAAACATATATCCTCTTATATAAAATATTAAATGCATATTTTTCGCGGATCAATGGATAAAATAAGGAAAAGGATAATTATACTATTAGATTGTAGCCGATTGGACCTTATAACTTAAATCTTTTAATGATTGAATATTTTGAAAAGCCATACAAACCATCACGCACTGCAAGTGTAGGAAAATGATTTGTTTAATAATTATAAAATTGATAGCAAATGTTTATATTTTTCTATAAAAAAGGTAATGTCGATTTCTGTTTGCTGTTATATATTTGTACCTGTTTTAATATTTGTTATTACTCATGCGTATAGTGTATACACGTGTTTTCGTTTCTATATCTTATAATGATTAAGAGAAAGACAGTTGATACTGCTGCTGGAACCTGTTGTCCATGACTTTTGCCCTTACTTAAAATTGTTAAAATAATGTACTTAAACTGTTTTCAAAGGGCGATGAAATATCATTAAACTAAATAAAATCTGAATGAATAGATATGTATGAATAAAATTTATTACATCTTATAACAGCCTATAATGACTTTAAAATTTTAAATCTGTATCTTTTTTAATGTAAGATTATAATGTGTATAACCATGGGATAGTAATATTCTTTAAAACGACATCATTTGTACTTGCAATGTTTGCTGATAAAATATTTGCTCGTAAGTATTATAATGTAATAATTTATTATCAATATTAACATATCAAGTATAAAATTGAATTCGTGATGAATTTCAATTCATGATCCATGCAATTAAAATCGTGAATATTTTAGTTCAATCTGGGATTCATGAAGATTTATTTGTGAATATGGGAAGTTTCAATTTTCACACCTTTTGTAAGTATGTTAACATTTAAAGTACTTTAAAAACATGTTTGATATTTTGAAACATTTTAACTTGTCCTAAAGTACATTATAAATTTACTTTTATAGGCATGATTTACGATTTGTTCTTCTAATTGCAAAGAAGTTAATAGAGTTTATGAATTAAACGCGAGTGTGTTTTCATTTTTGACCGTATCAATCCGATTAAGTTTGCGTATAAAAATAACCCTTAAAAGGGAGTCGCTGGTGCATATCGCAACTATTCAAATCACAACATTGAAAGAGGAAGTTTAGAACCTGTTTATTTGGTAGTGATTAATCAGATTTTTATAAGGTATTTATATATTATATCTTTTGTTCGTTTTAGTATATGTTAAGTGATATTTCTTAATTTTCGTGTTTTTAACGAATAACAAATATTGTAGTTATTCTTTCAATTTAATAATAGGTCTCGCTTCTTTTTGTTTAAGCTTAATTGTACCTTTAAAACTCTGAAAGATACATTAGATATGTCTAACATGTTTTATTGTAATGAACACAAATTACGAACACAAAATACATACCTTTAGTACTATTCTGGTTTTTAAGCTATATATAACAAAACAAAACGGAGAAAAATTAAAACAGCATCGTTTAGTATTGCTAAAACATATGTATTTCCGTAAGTTGATCACATTTTTATCAATAAATAGAATTCTCACTTTTAGTTTTGCTTAAATGAATCCGGAATAATGTTGCCGAAGGAAACGTCAGCATTTATACTAGTGTTGTTTGTGGATATGGTATTTACTGGTAAGTTATTTAATTTTATGATTATTTCTACTGTCTGAATATAAATGTGTGAATTTCTGTTAAAATATTTTCTTTAAATTAGCTAAATTCATCTATAAAATGTTGAATTTTTAAAGTTTATTTTATTATTATTCCTTATGTTTTAGTTTAGAATTTTATAATTTTAATAAAAAAATCTGACTTTGCATATTTTTTTTCTTTACATCGTAAATGTGAAATTATACATGTATATCCAATATATGTAAATAGGCAAAGAATTATATATTTACAGAATGTTCTGTTGGCTGCCAATCATGCTCCGGTTCAATTTGCACAAGTTGTGAATCATCATACTTTTTAACAAATGGCCTCTGTTCACCATGTCCCGAAAATTGTGAAAGCTGTAATAGCTATGACGACTGTACTTTATGTAAGCCAAACAAATTTGGTTTACACGTTAGATGTACTTTCACCTGTGAAGGTAATTGTCTAAACAGTGAATGTCAAGATGATACTGGAGATTGTACTCAATGTAAGACTGGTTTCTATGGGTTTGTTTGTCAACACAATTGTAGTTTATGTGAAAATGAACGTTGTGATTTACGCACCTGCTTAAATGGTTGTAAAGCTGGCTATTATGAGTTTAAATACGGTGCCGAAACATTATGTCAAACTTGTCCGCCAGATTGTAAACATTGTACGAATGGAAAAACATGTTTTAGTTGCAATGATGGTTTCTACCTCTTTAAGTTTAATGACAATGTTCACTGTTTGTCATGTTTCCAAGAAAACCAATGTCCGGACTGTTTTATTCAAGGTTGTAACCAATGTCAAATACGCAATAATTCCTTAGTATGTGCTGATTGTCCAGAAGGACAAATATTCAATGGTCAATCATGCGGATCACTCACATCATTGTGCGTAAAAGAATGTTCTACGTATTGTGATGATGGTACTGGAATATGTCAGGGAGAATGCAATGAGGGCTGGACTGGTGAAAAATGTTCAGAACCATGTAACAGCAAGTGTTTAAAGTGCTCAAAAGATAACAGAAATAGTTGTCTACTGTGTGTTGGTAATTTTTACTCAACCGATTGCAGTTTAGCTGGCGACCCCGCGGCCATGCATATGGAAACGGTAGTCAAACATTGAACATAGCCAGCGGATATTGTCATGAAGGATGCACACACAACATTTTGGGGCGACAACCTGCGATAATCCTTGTCCTGGTGGATGCAAAGGACAGAAATTGATAGAAACAACCGGTACATGTACGAATGGTGTGTTAGTGGACTGCTGGAGATAATGTACTCAAAACTATTAACAATGCGTTAACCAAGTCGGTACATATGATTACTGCCATAGTTCCTTTTGAAATAATTCATTTATAAGTGAGACATTTGGATTTAAGCAAATTCATGCTTACCATAAATATTGAATATTTTTATTTATTTGCTCTTTCTTTTTTTGAAATTATAAGGATACTGGAAATACTGTCTGCTCTTGTTTACAAGTATTAGTATTACTTCGGACGTAAGTAAATGTCCACCTAGTAGCTTATACATGTAATAACGTTCCAACGTTATAATTCATGTAAAGTAACAATGTGAACACACATGCGCACATAATACTAACTTTTTCGCAATGAATCCAACTCAAAATAAACATAAATATTGGATAGTCATATTTTCTCGCCATTTATTATGGTGACATTTAAGATATATTGGATATGATTAAATTGTCATGTGAGTATGTGATTATATTGTGATAAAAAAGAAATATGTTGTTAGGATGACTGGTGAATATATTTAGACCTTTGCAAGATGTGCCGAAAAGGAATCGGTAATATTTGTAAAAGGTGTAATGACAAAATTTACTCTTTTCATTGAAGTGAAGTAATTAAATGTTCCTAGATGAGTTCTGTACTTGCGTTTATTTATACTCGCCACCGGTTGCCCGTATGGGAGGGTTCTCCAGAAGAGTACTAATTATTTTAGATTTTGATGGATAGTGCAATATACAGATAAAGAAAGGTGACCCAATTCCAGAAGCTTACCTTGGTTCTTCAGCGTGTTATGTGCTCATACAAGGAACCACGATTTCACGTCTCATCTGAAAGACTATTTTAGTAATTTTAATTTTTAATTTGGACAGCCCGAGAGTCGAACCCTCAATGCCAATATTACAAGTCTCGCACTTTAACCGATTGCCCAGTGCGGGCTGGCTTGATCTTACATTATTGTTTGTGTACTTTTGGCGGAGAAATACTTTCAGGAATCATTAGAGCGTATTTATGACAATGTCCATTACACGTCAATGTTATATCTACAGAAACATTAGTGTCGTCAACAACAACATTAGCCGAATCTGTAACCCAACAACAAACATGTGCACGATGTGAAGATAAAGTTAATAATTTTACCATTGGTTATTTCTCTGGATTCGGATCTTGTGTTGCCATAGAAGTATTTGCTGTATTGTTGTACCTTATAAGACGAAGGTGATTTTTTTTACAAATTTTATACTATACAACATGCTTGTCCTTTAGGAACTTTTACTGATGAATTCAATGAAAACAATAACAATAATAATAATTATAAGCATAGTGTTATGTAATGTTTCTTTCATAATGATTTAATAGAAATGTTTGTACTTTCAAGTTGTAATGTTGTTGTTTTTTTTTTTTTCAAAAAAATTGTGTCAGTTTTAATTGGTTTGCTTTTTCGGTATAACTTAAAATCGACTTATATAATAAAGTGTAATACTATTATAAATGATTTGATTTAATACAGGTATCTTGCAAGAAAGACGCCCAAAGATAACAAACCCAACGTTGAAATTCCAACATATTATAACACTAGAACTGATTTCAGAGCTGTAAATACTACTGAGTCAGCTGTTGTGACCAATAATTATGAGAGTTTGAGTAATAACAGAACCACGGATAATGTATACAATGGTAATTGTAATGTGTTTACTTGATTTTCCTAGAATTATTATAATTTTGAGTACTTGATGTCAATATTGTTGTTAATACTTATCTTTTTTAATAAATGTTATGTTATTTGTTTATTTATTTATTTATTTATCTTTTCTTTTACTTATTCATTTATCTATTTATTTGTCTATTTATACATTTTCTTATTTTCAGATCTAGGAACAACTTTGTCATAGACGTACGACAAATGAGTTTTTGTGACTAGCTAGTGAAAACAACAGAATGAATTGTTTCTGTCAGTCTGGATATGTGGTTTTTGGGTCGTTACCATCCTAAAGGCTTATACACTGTATACTCACTTCGGAAAGGCTAATATTCAGAATAACTAGTTGTATTAGGGAACGAAAATCTATTTCCTTCCAGCAATTTTTTAACATTTAAAATACGACTTATGTGTTTTTTCAAAATTAGCGTACCTTGTTCTTCTTTATAAACGTTTTTTTTTCTCGAATATTTTGGTCATGTATTTGCAATATGAAATTTATACCTATATCTATTTACAGCACATTTTATATTATTTGTTTCAAAATGTGTACTTTTAACATGTATAACATTGTTCTTGAAAACTATATAATTTATACTAAAAGTGTTTGTTGATAAAGTATTTGATCGTAAATACTTCTGCATGATAGTTCCCAATCAATTTATTCTGTTTACCTACAAATTAGACTGATAAAATCTGGACAGGGCTTATACATTAAATGTATCTAGAAAATATTTTAATCCAAATTATTGAGAAATTTATAATGCTAGCATTCGGCTGAACGTTAATTTTGACATTTGGTCGTTGTGATATATTTACTGTAAGAAAATAAATGTTAAAACAGCTTTAAGAGTATATTTCTAAACATAACACTTAAATGTATTTTGATAAAAGTTTGTGTAATTGGTGTTAAAAATATTTTATTGGCTTTCAATCTTGATCACATGTTCGACATCTTTTAGTTATGATCATATTACTTTTTATAAAATAGTGATCGTTCATTGTGCTATATAGATTGTTAACATTGCTTCAATAACTGTACTTCATGTAAACAAAAATTATATGTTATTCATGTAAGTTAAACTTTTACCAGTGATGATAATTGTCTTAATAGTAAATATGTAGTAGATTCGCTATATTATTATCAATCCAAGTCTGGTTTCTATATGCTGATCTGGGTATTATCAGTATAAAACCGGTTAAAACAGTATATAAAATTTTCATCAAATTGCAATCATTTCTCGAATGTCGGAACATGTTAATTATACAATGATGGTTTTCAGCTCTATAAATTTGATGACAATGAAAAAGGATTCCCTGAAGAAGAACGCCAAAGAACATGTTCATGTACGGAAATAAAACTGCGAGTTACTGTCCCTGCCCCTTAAGTAGAAAATAAAGACTCAAATGCTCAAAAGAAAAGGATTAAAATATTTGTTTACATTGCAATGGTGACATTATTTTACAGAATGTAATTAAAATAGAGGAAACGGAATGATTAAAGAACGCCCACAACCACAAAATTGAAAGTGTTGCAGGCTCTGTTTGATAGCGCCTGTTCATTGACGATACTGGAAAGTGAAAGTTACCGTCCACGCCTCTTAGCATCGGCTTAAGCAGAATTAACATTTAAACATGAACATGGTGAAATTTTGAATTAAAAAACATCCGCAGATGTGTTCACACGGTGGTTATTATGGAACATTTAATGTAACACGTTAATGCCATTCCATATTTGCCATCTATCATCTATTATGTTCAGTAAGGGACAATAAAAGAACATGTTGACATGCAGATGGATAGTCCTAAAATGAGTGTATACAAAGCTCTTGGGGCGAAACCTGAAATATGTCAGATATGTGTCAGGAAACATATAAACAGGTACTGAAGGATGCAAAGATGGATATCTGGTAGACATATATTTTCGAGATAGTACAGGGGTTCGAGTATGTATATATCTGTTTGTATAAACAAGTACATTTTATGGATATAATAATATTTGTACAAAGAAACATGTTTTAGATAAAGTATTGATACAAAAAGTCCATAGATTTAGATAATTATAGGACCAGATAATCATTAAGAAGAAATACTTAAAAATTTATCAATAAAAATACAATGCCACAGAGTACACAAGTTTTTAAACCCTAACTTGATACAAATACTTTTCTGAATTTATGAAAAGTATAAATAAAATTAATAATCCGAAATATCATGAAACATTTTTCATTAGGCTCTTCAGTTTTTGCATGTACCTTCACGTGGCATCAAATATTGATGCAGGTAAATTTACTGAAGTTATTACTACATCTACGTCACACATAACTTACCAGAACCTCTGTATCCTTTTATGACATTATGCTTATATTTTCTTTTCTTTTTCATTTCCTCCATTTTAATGAGATACTTTTTAAGTATTTTTGTTTAGTCACTTTACAGCAGCATTAATTACATTTATTCTTACAATACATAAATTGTTTATTTTCAGTTTTCATTGCTTGATTGAATTGTGCAAGTTTTTCTTTACAGCTTTCTTTTTAACTCCTACCTAAATAATTAAATCGTGTTTTGATTAAGCATAGAATGACTTTTATCAATATATGTTTTATTAGGTTTATAACGATATATCTTAAAATACAAATTTCCTCTGCTAGGAATAAATTTCAGATACAAGATTGACCAAAGAATCCGTACTTTGGCCGCTGTCTTTATTCGCGATAAAGTCAGTACATAATTCATCTACGTGGCGTGAAATTTCATTCAAAAATTCATTTGTTATATTATGGAAAGCACGCCTGTAAACATTACAGGCGCGTGATTAGAACAAATTCTAAACTCCTGTACATTGAAATAGTAAATCTAGAAAAAATTACATTTATCAGTTAAACAACAATACTTTCACCATTATGTGTATATGATGTACAATGACCCGCATTAGCATCTTTACTTATACGGCCATTTACCACACGAAGGTCTAATGCTTTACATAAATCTAACAAAAGAACGCCAAAGCGATTTTATACTTGATCTGTTGTTGCACGTTGTTAATATTCGTCCACTGAAAAATTTTGATCTCATAACTGTGAATCATTTTCTTTTACCAATGCTTGAGATTAAATCACACGTACCCACGACGTAGTATCTCGTGCTCACGACTTCATTATCTCGTGCGCATGATTAAGTAAGTCGTGGCAACAACATAGTATCTCGTGCGCATCACTTAATTATCTCGTGGGCACAACATAGGAACTCGTTGTCACAACATAGTATCTTGTGAGCAGGAGATAAATAAATACACACACATTTCACATCTGTGCCAACGTATGAAACTGTTTATAACCATTTAAGTTTAATTTATAATTTTACTCGTCCATTTTTCATTTAAAAATATCAAATCATACTTATCAGTGAATTGTTTAAATGGGGGTATGTTATTTTCTGTTGGGTTAATCCCTCAACATTCCGAAATAAACACTTTATATTTCTCCTATTATTTTCCTTAATACGAGTTGCCACGTTTGCCATCGCTGTATAATTCACCTTTGATGAAAAGTTTGCGTGATGTATGAAACATTTCTTGCCTCAAGCATAATCGTGACGAGGCGTCTCCCGGTCTCTTCAACGTCTTTTGTTATTGTTGACTTAAACAATATGGATTTGTCAGCCTACTCTCGTTTGCACCACTCCTTTTCGGGAGAGATTGCAAATTTTGCGACAACGGGTGGTACTTTATTTGAATTGAATTGAATCGAATTAAATTGTACACGCCGATTCTAAGAGCAGTCTACAAAGTTATTGATTTCTTAGCATTTTCATTGTATATTTTGTTTTCAAGCAAGTCATGAGCTTTTTCTCAACACATTCTGTTCAGGTTACTCCCTTAGCTTCCCTTATCCCGAAAAATAAAATAGTGTCCCGCATACTTTTTTTTGGAAATACTAGTTTTATAACTTTAAAAACGTCGTAACTGTTAGTCTTTGGTACTCTTAACATGCAGATTATTCAAATGCTTTAAGTCTCAATACATACTTTTATTGAGAGACTTTTCTCTTTATATTCAAAATATTTAAAATATAATTTTCGCTGATCAATGGATAAAATGAGGAAAGAATATACTATCATATGGTCGTCATCGATTGGACCTTATAACTTAATATTTTTATAATTGACATATTTTGAACAGCCATACAAATCGTCACATATATGTACTGCAAATGTAGGAAAATGTTTTGTTTAAAAATTATAAAATTGATAGCAAATTTGTAATTTAAGACAGTTGATAATGCGGTTGGAACTTGTTGTTCAAGGCTTTTGCCCTTAGTTACAAATTGTTGTTATCTGAAAATAATGTTATTAAATTGTATTCAAAGACCATAAAATATTATTAAACAACAAAAAATCTGAATGATAAGTTTGAATACAATTTATACTTATATCTTAAAACAGACTATTATGACTTTCACATTTTAAATCTGTATCTTTTTATAATTACTGGTTATTTCATGTATACATTTTACTGTACAATACGTGAATATATTTGGACGAGTACACAGCTTGAAAGGTCATATTAGACGAGCCAATATTCCGTATTGTACAGTAAAATGTAAACTAATTTTTTTATTATATATATATATTTCGTTTAATTTGAAAAATCATCATCATCATCATCCCCAACAAAACCACCACCAATATCATCATCCACACCACCACCATTATCAGCAAGAAACCCACTACTATTATCATCAACACCATCAATAAAACCACCAAAACCACCGCCACTACCACCATCATCAATTATAGCCCTGTGGCTCCTGTCAAAATATTTTAGAAGAAAAGGTAATAATTTATGAATGCTTTTGTTGTATACATATATTACTTTTAGGATTTGACTGATACAACAAATACTTTTTAGACGTTATTTTTTCAAGAAAATGACAGTTAACATTGCCTAAACAAATTATACGTTGTAACAACTTACATTTATCATTAATGTCTGTTTAATAAACATCATAATTATGTAACAGTATAACCGAAAAATATCACATTGACACTCCTTATCTCAATTATCACATTGACAATAGTATAACGCTAATATTTAGCGCGTCTTAACGCTATGTTTATATAACGCAAATGACGTCAAGTCAGAATATATGCACGGTCGTTAAGTGCACTGTAACACCGTACTTTGGGGTCATCGCACTTTGGGGTAAATTTCACAGCGCACTTTGGGGTCAAACGCACTTTGGGGTCAAAATCCAGAAATGAACCCCTACATATTAACGCACTTTGGGTTCAATCGTTCTAAAGGTGTTAACCGAGTTCTGCTTAAATACTGAGTACTGACTTATTTTCGATCTGCAATCTTGAAATATTTAAGGTGAGGTTAACGTTGACCGTAAATACATTTGAGCCGTTCTCCAGGAAAACCTGCCAAAATGACATCGATTATGACGTTGGGAATTTCCCGATAAATATGACGTCATACTTGAAAGCACATGTGAGTTCAGTGACCTTTCTGTATCAGTGTTTACATGATAAATTTTGACATTTTCTGGATATTAAAATGGATAACGATATAGAGGTATGTAGTATTCATATATTTTATCAACTCTAAACTAGGTATGTCGCACATTATATTGTTCAATTGTTCCTATATTGATATATTTTACGCAAGACGCCAAGAGTGAATCAGGAAAATATGGCGCGTAAACAAAATAATGTAGCGTGATTGTTGTAACTGGTAGGATGAACTTATACCGAGCAACACATTAATAAACATGCAAAGAGTTGGTTTATTTCGCTCTCATACATTTCTTGACATACTCGTTAAGATTGTTTTTCAGATAAAATTAATGTATTCGCTAAATTTGGAAGACATTTCTGTGTACCCCACCACTACCAGAATGACATCGAATCAATCGTCAAAATTAGTTAGGACTCAGTAGATCTAGATCTCTATTATTTTTTTAATAATGTCAATATATTTCAATGACGATAAGCTTTATTAAAATTTCAGAAAATTGAGTTGGTTTTGTTTCGGAGTGGGTATGCTATTGATCAAAATCTGAACGATTAAGGTTAAATCACTTAATTTATATTGTCTCAGTACGAAGTCTGTCATGGCCGAGC